TGATATCCACATGTAAAAGATACTGACAACTATTGTAACATGTAGGCAGATCATTCTAACGACATTAAATTACCCTAGTTCGTTGAGATGTGTTTAGAGCTTCCTTATCTCCAATGAGAATTTCTCTGTAAAAAAAACAATTCTTTGAGGATGTACAATCCAGTCTTATCGTACCCCCGTTTGAAAACTGGGGGTTGTATAGTATAATGATGGGGTGTCCCTCCGTCCGTCCATCACCATCTGGGGTATCCATATCTTATCCGCAACTCCTCTTATACCACTGAGTAAAATTTAATGATACTTTCACAGAATCATTGTTACATAGTGTCACTGTATTACGTTTATTTGCGTTTATTACGTTGTATTTGCGTTTAATCGCAAAACATTGCGTTTAATCGCAATAATCATTGCGTTTAAACGCAATACTTTTGCGATTAAACGCAATAATTTTTTCGTTTAATCGCAATAATATTTTTGCGATTAAACGCAATTATTTTTGCGTTTAAACGCAATACTTTTGCGATTAAACGCAATAACTTTGCGTTTAAACGCAATAATTTTTGCGTTTAAACGCAATGATTTTTGCGTTTAAACGCAATACTTTTGCGATTAAACGCAATACTTTTCCGTTTAAACGCAATACTTTTGCGATTAAACGCAAAGTGTTTTGCTTTTAAACGCAATATACATTGCGATTAAACGCAATCAATAATCAATGATTATTGCGATTAAACGCAATGTTTTGCGATTAAACGCAATAATTATTGCGTTTAAACGAAATAAAAAATATTTCTTTCTCTGAATTGGCCTCAACGGGCTTCCGTAAGTTTCACGAAATAATTTTTTTTTCTTCATTTTTACAGTCATGTGATGAGTCATTTATTGATCATAGCTATTTCTTCCCATTCTTGTTTTTTATATATGTACATGAGTGGTCGAATAACCAGCTGGTGTCATTTATGCAATAACGCATTTATCTATAAAAACAAAGCCAGGTTTCAGCTAAAACAAAAATATCACATGATTTTTGTCATGACAAAATTGTTGACGGATAATGATTATTCTTTAATTGACTGCAGTCTAAAGCACAAAGAATTTTTCAAATTGTTGAAATTGACAAATTTTATGTAAATATGTATCAAATTCACAAGTTTTCGTTCGTTTGTCGAGTTTGAAATCCGAGCGAGTATGCTCGCAACTAGATATTACACTCATTTATGCATAATTTTGCTCACCAGAGGTGGGAACAGGTGCATACTGGAGTAGACTTTTGACAGATGATGTTAAATATGGAGATCTGGCTTCTGTACTACTTTCATAATGGAAAGAAAATTATAAAATGTAAAACCTAAGTCCATGCCTTCTTTTAGAGTATGCACTATTGCATATTTTCAACGCATCGTATTTTTAGAACCACATACATGGGAACAAAAAGCATGGTAAAATACAGATTTCTACGAAGTCTGATCTGTGTCGAGGTAAACTTCCTTTTCCAAGTATTGCACGTACATATACCTGCAACGTGACTTGGAGCTGTAGCTTGGAATTCTAGACGACATTTATCTGCTTATGCATGACCAGGTATATTGCATTTAAAATTTAAAAAAAATTCTTCTCTCATTTCATCAAAAATTAGCAAAAGTTCGTTGCGTGTCATGTACTCATGATATGCAGGGTATTGCCTGTCTCTATCGTACGAAATGTATCGCGCATATCAGACAGGCAAGCCAGTCTAGTGAAACGATTGTTATCCACCTTACTTCCTTAAGTTAATCTAACTAATTTTTTTCAAGGCTTGTCCGTCAATTTTATATATAATTTTATATATGTGAGTCCAATGTCAGTAACTTTCTAGTTACTCCCGAACCACCAGACTAATTTCAACTTATCTTTCAATTAAATTTATCTACAATTAAGGCAAATTAGTTCAATTTTCTGTCTTAAAAGGGGGTAATGTGACCTTGAAATAAACCTGATTTCTTGAGAAAATGCTCCTTACCTGAGTGAAGTCAAAATTACAATTTCAAACATCATGTTTAGATGTATTTGGCTAGGACAGAACATAAATAAATGCTTGAATTAGGTATTGTATGGAATATACACTAAGATTGACAACATTCAATGATAAATAAATACGACTTGGTTTGTTTAAAAAATGTATTTTTGCAACAGTGTTTATTAAAAACAACTAGGTTTCATAATTTGATTTATAGAGAGTTGAAAAAAGGTTCCCACGAATAAAATTGACGCCAGGAAAACAATTCTTTTATTCTGGAGATATATTTTCCGCCTTTTACACTTCGGTGTCAAAGGGAACTGGTATATAACTGGTATATAAAGGTACTAGCTGGTGTCATATTGTAAGCCTTTTGGCAATTGTACGGAATATATATATATATATATATATATATATATATATATATATATATATATATATATATATATATATATATATATATATATATATGTATATATGTATATATATATATATATATATATATATATATATATATATATATATATATATATATATATATATAATTAAAAACTTTATTCAAGCATATCAAATGCCCTGCACGAATCAGTAGGAATTATTAACCCTACCTTCAAAAAATCCGACAAGGACGATCCCTGAACGAGGAATGTTTAATATAAATCTGTAAGAATAGCAAACGATCCACCCAAAGAATATTTACTATAATTCATTTCAAAGAAAATTTAACTACGGATGTTAGCAGACTTAGAGGATAAGACACTTGAAAACTTGGACTAAAATTTCAATTTTTACATTTTAAAGTTACATGGATCCTGATATGATCTAATGTTGTTATCCGGTTTTTTGTCCGTCTTTTTTTTTTGCTCTACATCTGTTTTTGCCTATCTACAACTTTTGCCTATTTTCAGCTTCTCCTCTAGAATGGTTCAACCAATTTCATCAAATTTCAGGATAAGGTTGGAAAACAAGCAATCAATATGTTGACATACATGTACATGTAATTAAATGAGCAGCTAGTATGGGTTCATTGCCCCGGGGTTCAGACCTCCGTTTGCGCTAACTTGGTAATGATGTGAAAATGCAATAAAAAAAAAGCATGTTGACTCTCTTTCCAAACTCATTATATCCCTTGAATTAAGGCACCATGATGGCCTAAGTTCTTCATATAACATTGGAAATGCTTGATGTGTTTAAAGAACATCTATCAAAAGAAAAAGTTTGCCTGATTATAGCCCCTTACTATTGATATAAAATTCGTATCCTCGGTTTTTTGAGGGTGGGGCTTAGTTGGTCACGTATTGATAATATATATTTGAAAGATATAATTTTTCAAGGACATTTATCAGGCAAACTAATTGCATGAATAAAATAAACACTAAGCTGTCTATCTGAATGTTAAAATAAATTCCCGCTGGTCCATGAACAGGCCTAAGGTGGGGATATGTTTGTTATTTATTAAAAATACAATAATATCTTTGAAAAGTTTTACTCCTAGACTTTCTAGCAGACATACTGTTTGCATGATTACAGCAAGCAACTTACAGTTTACCATTTTTATTAACTTCATGGACCTTGGGACGAGTGATCAGGCTTCCGGGGTTGAGAGTATAACTATGTCACATATCTACGATATACTACATCTTTAATGTGAAAATTTTTCATATACTGTTGGACTTTCTAGCAAGCAAACTGCGTGATTACAAATTAAATGTGAAGATAACAAATAGTAATGATTTTTAAAAGTTCATTTAAGCAATGTAAATTATGAGCAGAGCAAGCTCGGATTTCTAAATAGAAGTGGGATCAGGGACCATGGAAAATTAAACATCCTTTGTGGATTGGTCACACCAACACAGGACTAAACATCCCCTGTCGATCGGTAACACCCGCACGTGATCCTTGTCATGATAAGGTAAACGGAAAAATCCAATTCAGTGTGAACATAATAGCATTAAAAAATTGTATGAGAGATGTAAGTCAACATTCGACTTAACGACAGATCGTTAGTGCTACAACAGTGTCTCTAATAAGAATTTTCATATACCTAAGATAAAAAGGTAAATATTCTTCATGTTTCAATGCTGTTAAAAGCTGGAATGCATTGCCATTTAAGATCAAGGAGATGAGTACTAAACAAAAATTTAAGAAAGCTGTAAGATTCTTTTTAGCTACAAATGCAAGAGATACTACATGTACATGAAGACTTGACCAATTTTATATTTCATGAGTATTATTATAATAGAGAATTTTTTAAACTTAAGAAACATTTGATAAAAAACACAGTTACCCTCTAAATGTAATCACACCCCCCCTACCCCAGCGCTATTGTTATTTTAGTCCAGAGTTCCACCTATAGATGGGGTCGAATTTGTTATAACCTATCATTGGGTCTTATTTTGACTGACAAATTTCATTCCAATTGTTAAGCCCTGTTTTTATTCCTAATTTGACTACCCGATCAATACATAGAGCTCACGGCGGGTGTAACCAGTCGACATGGGATGCTTAATCCTCCTAGGCTCTTGATACCAACTCTGGAATTTCCTGGAGGGGGGTTAACGTTATTATATGCTCTGTTCATAGATTTGTATTGTTTTTAGATTTGTTTTTGATATCGATCACTTTTTTCATCAAGAAGCCTGTGAATTATAGCACACACCCCCCCCTCCCCACCCAAAAGTGAGGCCATGCCTTGTTTTAGAGTGTGCGCTTTTCAACGTGGCGGAAGCAAAGAATCGATAACGATTGTACAATGAGTATGTGCCTAACTCGGGAATCAGGCTGAACATGCACATGTTGTTGTTATTAATCAATGTTAACGTATTGTATATCACCCTACTCTGAGCTGTAGCGTGGAAATCTATTAACATTCCTATACGTAAGTATGACATAACAAGCAAGGGGATGTTTCAAAAATTATCAATTTAGAGGTTTTTGTCCTTCATTTAATCAATATTAGCCAATATTGCCTGCAGTTGCAAGTCGTGTACAAGCGATATGCACAGTTCAACGTTTATATATACTCCCTCTGATGTTTTGCGAAGCGTCCATCTTTGAATTTGAAAAAGGATGTAACAAAAACATGTGAGCCCAGGTAAAGTGAGATTATCCTTTAAGGTTCATGTTTATTTTGATTTGAGCTTTGTTCGGTGACTCTTCAACAAAATATATTATGCAGATAAGAACCGTATCCGTGTAACATGATATCATTAACATCTCTGTGATTAAATTATACAATGTATTTTTGCAAACCACAGAAGCAGCAATAATAAAAAGTGCATTTTTGTGAATGTAAAGTAGAATGGAAATAGTATATAATGACAGTCGTTCTCGTCATAAATTGATTGAGTCTTGCATTGCATATAAGCAGGAAAAATTTTCATCGGACAACAGGGTATTTATAGTCATGTAAATATTCAGTCATCCTCACGTAATATAGAATCATTTTTTTTCCAAATCTTTGTCCCTTGAGGTATAGTGGGATCACAAATTACGAGAATATATTATTACGTAGAAATGTCTGTAAAAGTTTTTAAAAACGGATTTCTCAATTACAGCAAGGAATAAGTCATATTAAAATCGAATTATTCTAATACAGTGTAGATTAAAGTTTTCTGAAATCCTGGTCCCAAGGGCTTGGGTTTGTTGACAACAGGGTCAACCGTTTAAACATCAGAAGATAGAGGGGGAAATTTTGCATTGAAAGTTGTTCTTTTCAAGAACTAGAGGGCAACGGTTAATTGGATATCCGGGTATATTCTAATTATTTAAAATCATGGTCCCTGTGACAAGAAAGGAACAAGAACAGAATATCAAAGCCTATGTTAGACATATATATTCATATAAATAACAATTAATATCCACACAATTTTTGAAAATCTGCTCATAGATCCACATACTCCCCATATCCGACCAATTTTTCAAATTTCTCTCTGCCTTTTTATACACAAAAGCTATATATACATGTCGCTAACGCTTTCCTATAAGACCGAGGTTTTTCGTTTGAGATCCAATTCAAATTGCAGCAAGAAACTTAAGCGCAAGAGTCAAATTTGGACAGCAAATCCAAGTTTCTAAAATAAATACGTGACTGAATGCATTCAAAGATATATATTTTCATCCACTAAATAACATTTCCTATTTTTCTTATGAAAACCCTTGCCGTTTATCAGACAGTAAACGACACTAAGCAGCCACCTGCATAGATTTCTTGAGCAAAGGCTTTTCCATCAATTATGCATACAATGGCATACACATCTATAATACCATCTTTAACATATTTAATTTTACTTTGAATGTTTTTTATGCAGATATAAATATAATCAATAAAATGTCTTTCTTTGTTTATTAGTACGGGAATTAACGTCGCAGCTATTGCAGAATAAATTTACATAACCCGCTTCTTGTTTGAGTAAAGATTTATGCTAATAGTCTTATTCTTAAATGTATGGAGATATAAGATTGATTGATTGTATTTGTTTTACGTCCCGTTCGAGAATGTTTCACCCATATAGAGGACGTCACCATATACCGGTGAAGTGCTTCAAATTTAGACCAATACTCAGCACTCAGGGCCATTGAACAGTGAGGGTTCCTTATCGTGCCAACTCCCAAGCCGGAGGCTCAAGTAAGCTTTTCTGATCAAAATTTGTCCGTTGTCTGTCGTTGTCGTCGTCGGCGTCGTTGTAAACTTTTCACAGTTTCATCTTCTTCTCCAGAACTACTGAACCAATTTCAACCAAACTTGCCACAAAGTATCCTTAGATGAAGGGGATTCAAGTTTGTTCAAATGAAGGACCACGCCCTCTTTCAAGGGGAGATAATAAAGAATTAGTGAAAAATTAATAGCATCTTTTAAAAATCTTCTTCTCAAGAACCACAGGCCCAGGAAAGATGAAACTCATGTGGAAGCATCCTCAGGTAGTGTAGATTCAAGTTTCTTCAAATCATGACCCCCGGGGGTAGGGCGGGGCCACAATGGAGGATCAAAGTTTTACATAGAAATACATAGCAAAAATCTTTAGAAATCTTCTTCTCAAGAACAGCAAAGCCATTATGAGTCATATTTGTATGGAAGCATCTTCAGATAGTGTAAATTCAAGTTTGTTCAAATCATGACCTCCGGGGATAGGGCGGGGCCACAATGGAGGATCAAAGTTTTACATAGAAATATATAGCAAAAACCTTTAAAAATCTTCTTCTCAGGTACAGCAAAGCCATGATGAGTCATATTTGTATGGAAGCATCTTCAGATAGTGTAAATTCAAGTTTGTTCAAATCATGACCCCCAGGGGTAGGGCAGGGCCACAATGGAGAATCAAAGTTTTACATAGAAATATATAGCAAAAACCTTTAAAAATCTTCTTCTCAAGAACAGCAAAGCCATGATGAGTCATATTTATATGGAAGCATCCTCAGGTAGTGTAGATTCCATTTTGTTCAAATCATGACCCCCAGGGGTAGGGCGGGGCCACAATGGAGGATCAAATTTTTACGTAGAAATATATAGGAAAAATCTTTAAAAATCTTCTTCTCAGAAACAGCAAAGCCCTGATTGGTCATATTTATATGGAAGCATCCTCAGGTAGTGTAGATTCAAATTTATTCAAATCATGACCCCTGGGGGTAGGGTGGCGCCACAATGGAGGGTCAAAGTTTACATAGAAATATACAGGGACGATTTTAAAAATCTTCTTCTCAGAAACAGAAAAGCCTTGTTTATCATATTTTTGTGGAAGCATCCTCATGTAGTGTAGATTCCATTCTGTTCAAATCATGACCCCCAGGGGTAGGGCGGGGCCACAATGGAGGATCAAAGTCTTAAATAGAAATATATAGGAAAATATCTTCTTCTGAAGAACTGCAAAGCCATGATTAGTCATTTTGATATGGAAGCATCCTCAGGTAGTGTAGATTCAAGTTTGTTCAAATGATGACCCCTGGGATAGGGAGGAGTCACAATTTGGGATCAAATTTCAATAAAATTTCAAAGGAATATATGGGAATTTTTTTAAAAATCTTCTCAAGTACAACAAAGCCATTTGCATGGAAGCATCATCAGGTAGTTTAAAATTCAAGCCCCCCCCCCCTCGGTAATCTTTTCAATACTGAACTGATTTGTGCTTTTGCCAAGCCAGTGTGCTCAGGTGAGCGATGTGGCCCATGGGCCTCTTGTTCTGATTACATTTTGTTTATCGTCCGTCTGTAAACTTTTCATATTTTCGACTTCTCCGGAACTACAGGGCCAATTTAATTCAAACTTGCCACAAAGTATCCTTTGGTGAATGGGATTCAATTTTGTTCAAATGAAGGGCCATACCCTCTTTCAAGGGGTGTAATTAAGAATTGGTGAAAATTGGGCAACATCTTTTTAAAAAATCTTCTTCTCAAAAACTACTGGAAAAAAATGAAACTTAAGTGAAACCTTCATTAGATAGTGTAGATTCAAATTTGTTCAAATCATGACCCCCGGGGTTTGGGTGTGGCCACAATATACATAGGAAAAAATCAACTTCTCAAGAATAGCAAAGTCATGATTAGTCATATTGATATGGAAGCGTCCTCAGGTAGTGTAGATTCAAATTTGTTCAAATCATTATCCTCGGTGTTGTATAGGACCACAATTGGAGATATATATATAGGAATATATGGGGAAAATCTTCAAAAATCTTCTCAAGAACAGCAAATCCATGATTAGTCATATTGATGTGGAAGCATCTTCAGGTAATCTTCAGGTAATGTAGATTCAAATTTGTTGAAATCATGACCTTTTGTAGTAGGGTGTGGCCACAATGGGGGATCTACGTAAGATTTACATAAGAATAAACGGGGAAAAAAAATAAAATTTTCTTCTCAATAACAGCAAAGATATAATTAGTCATATTGATATGGAAGCATCCTCAGGTAGTGTAGATTCAGGTTTGTTCAAATCATGAACCCCGGGGGCAGATTGGGGCCAGAATGGGTGTTCAAAGTTTTACATAGAAATATATAATAGAAAAAATATTGAAGGACAACAGGGCCATATTGACTCATGTGAGCGTTGTGGCCCATGGGCCTCTTTTTCAGGTCTCATCCAAAATACCCATTACTTCTAATGCCAGGCGAAGGAACAGTCACTGTCTATGTTAACGCCTTAGGTTTGACGCGGCGTGGCTCGAATCGAACCCGGCCCTCCCGATCACGAAGCGAACGCCCTACCATAAGGCCACCGCATACGAAAATGGAGTCAGTAAAAATGTCATACACTTTAGGTATATTTAATAAATGAATTTAAATTTTGAAAATTCATGAGGACATGAACTACGAAGCTTCACGCCGGCATATTTCATGAAGCGCGTTATGATCCTACTTTTGAATCCCTGACAACGAAGAACCTGTAAAGTAGCCAAAAGTTCGTCTTAACCGTAATATTATAGGTATTAAGAGTAATTTCTCTGTAGCTACAATGTGTACTTTTGTGTATGTGTATTTTATGGCTTGAAAGCATAAACATATATCAAACAAAGTATAGTTCCTACGTGTCTTTGTTGCCATGGGGACAGGTGGGAAAATTATTTAGAATGAAATTTTCACCTTATTTTGAAACTACAGCCTTAACAAAGACTAAGAAAACCTTATTCACAACCTACACGAAAACATTGTATATGTACACTTTGTTACTTCTGTTGTAAAGAAACTGTTTGGAATATACATATCTCTAAATAGATTGTTTCCATGGTAACCTAGTAAAAGTTCTTTTCCCAAATGTTTTCAGCATCCGCATACTATAACAAATCGACCTTCGATATACAAGGTAAAATTACAGGAAATGGCTCTTAAATCTCACAGCGATTTAGCTTAGAGGCTAAGCTACAGGAAAAATGTACGTATCAAAAATTTCCTGTCTAATATAGTGATATGCTTGAGCTTTCTTTTACTTTAATTTTAACAGGTACATGTGAAAGATGAATGGTGAAACTGCTCAGAAGATGGCCCAAGATGCCGTTCGTTGCAGTCAATGCACAAATGTGGTCGTTGTTTATTGTAGAAGTTGTGGTGTTAACCTTTGCAGAGAGTGTAGAAGCAAACATTTAGAAAATGAATCATTGAAGCATGAAATTGAGCCATACATGCCGCAAGCTTCCTCTACAGACAAATGTAAAGATCACTCGAAAGAAAATGTCTTGTACTGTCATGATTGTACAGTTCCTATTTGCTTTGAGTGTCTTTTGGGAAATCATGAGGGACACAGAACTGAAAATTTGTCAAAAATTACCAAAACAACTCAAAGCGCCGTCCAGAACGATTTGCTTGAATTAAGACATTTCAAAAATGAATATGAAAATGTGGTGCAGAAAATGAAATCAAAGTTTTCTGAGTATGCAGAATACAGTAAAAAGGAAACAGATTCTCTAGAAGAGTTGAGAGAAGCCTGGCACGAGATGGTTAATGTTACGATAAACAAATTCAGAAAGAATATTAACGACATGGTCGAAGAGGACAATAGATACATGCAGGATAGTATAGAAGAAATTCAAACTATTTTACAAAATGTGGAACATTGCATTCAGAAAAACGAGAAACTTTTGAAAGATAACAATATCTTGAACCTCCTTAAGTACGAGTCTACGATCGAGGAATTGCGACTTGTTCCTAGTAGAATAGAAATCCTACCACCAAAAATTATTCCGTCAGATGTTAAAGAAGAAGAAATTATGAAGCAGCTTTTGACACTCAAACCCTCCAATCGAACAACTCTACCAGAATTTGCCATAAGTAAAACCTGTAGCGTATCGGCAGTCTCAGCCCGATTGCTACTGAAAGAACCAAAAATTTTAGCTACTCTGAAAACAAACAACCGAAAATTAAAAGGAATTTGTTGTGAATCCACAGACAGGGTGTGGGTTTATGGAGATGATGAAAAACTGAAGCAGTTTGACAAGCTTGGCACCCTGCTGAATTCCATAACGGCAGTTTCAGGAAATAGTCAGAAAGATATCGCGGTAAACAAAGACGGCGATATTGCTTTTCCTCACATAACGGATGAATGTATTAAAGTATTCAGAAAAGGTCGCGTCGAGAAGATGGTAGAGCTGGCTGGCTGGATTCCATTTGGACTTTGCTTCAACACAGATGATGCCTTGATGGTCTGCATGCGACGAACTGACTACTCAGAGGCCAAGATTGGCATATTTTCTGGAGGGAATTTGATAAAAGAAATTCAATTTGATGATAAGAAAAAGGCACTGTTTTCAGTGGGTCGAAACAATATGTACATCACCGAAAATGGAAATGGGGATATTTGTGTGTCCGACTGGAACGCCTCTGCTGTAGTCGTGACCAAGAAATCCGGAGAATTTCGATTTCGTTACACCGGAAATCTCTCTCGCAGCCACAAAGAATTCTATCCACATGGAATAGATACTGACAACTATTGTCGTATTCTCATTGTTGATCGCGACAATGATTGTGTCCACGTGGTTGACAGGAACGGGAAGTTTTTACGCTACATCAACTGCAGTTTGAAAGACCCATTCGTTATCAGTATTGATAGCGACGAAAACCTCTGGGTTGGAGAGAATAGTGAAGCATGCATCAAAGTTATTAAGTATTTGGATTGATAATGATATATACAGATTTTATTTACTATGAAGAAAACATTTTCTTTATTAGTCTCCTAACATGTGTGTCTTTAACGCGCATGCGTCTTTTCACTTAGAAAATGTTCTGACCCGTGTTTTCATTGTCGTATAAAGCTTTTCATAACTTTAAGCAGGAGTTACGTTTCTTTAAATATAAGTCTTACTTCTCACGTTTGCATTGTACCAGGCGCCTTTGGGGAAGTACAGATAAGTGACAGCTAATTGGAATTGAACACAAGTAAATATCAATTCAACATGGGTGATGCGTATTACTTTGTATGTATTTTTATGAACTTGTTAATGTATTATTATTGCTTTTATTATTGCTTTTAAATCATATTTTTTTTCTTCATAATATTATTACAGAGCAAATTTAACATTTTAAAACAAATATTTTTTTAATATATTGAACTAAATTTGGACTTTTACCTGTGAATTTCTTTATCTTTTTTCATTGTGTCCTTATTATTTAATTTATTGTTACTTGTTTATCTCATTCCCATTGATACAGGAATAAGACATTCCGAATGACTGAAGTAACTCTATCAAAAGAATTGATACTCATTAGGTGTAAATGCATCAGGACTCGTTAACTTCTATTTGATAACATGTATTTAATAATGTATTTCATGTCTATTCTATCAAAGAAACACACCTGTCCATCAGTTAACTCAGCTAGTTCAAATTCGATTATTGTTTACTCTCATATCTTACCAAAATCTATGTACGTAATACTTTCTTCAGCTTGGAGGTCCGATGCTCTATCGGCCACATTTAACTCGTTTATGACTGGACTCGTTATAATATTTTTGAAATTCGTGTTGCTTGTTATGAACCTTCATTTTTGTATTTAGTAAATTGGGAAACCTGATTTTATCATTTCTTTGATTGTATGAAATATGAAGATAACGAACAATAATCAAGCTTTTAACTCCATTGGAACAAATATAAATTGGGAGCAGAGCAAAGACGGGCCCTGAAAACATTAGAGGTGGGATCAGGTGCAATGGAGAAGTAACCATCCCCTGTCGACCGGTCACACCCGCTATGTGCTCCTTGTCATGATCTGGCAAACGGAAAAATCCGTAGACAATTCAGTGTGAACATAATAACTAAATAATTTGTAAGAAAACCAGTGATTTTCGAGTTAACGATATATTGTATTTGATAACAAGGTCATTATTTGCAAAATGTTATATATATATATATATATATATATATATATATATATATATATATATATATATATATATATATATATATATATATATATATATATATATATATATACTGGAAGATCAAAGGGAATACGGCACTTTCTCGTTTTCGATTCATTACGACCCCAAAACGCCGCTGCTTTATTACTGGCTAAAACTCCTTCTTCCTCGTCTGCGCTAGAACAATGGATACAGACCAGGAATCAGTGTTATGGTTTTATAACAAAACCAAAATCTACTTTGTCATAATTTGGACGGCATAGAACATTTGTCTTGAACCGCATCCGTTGTTTGCAGAACAAGCGAGGTGAAGAAATGGGGGGTAGAGGGTACTAGGTAAATGTAGAGGTGCTGTGTGGCTATAAAGTAAAAACGAAGTATAGGTGTGCCGAAGATTGGCCAATATGAAATTCCAGAGATAAAACAAACTGGATAGGTAATCTCTTTGAATTCGCTTTTTTAAGTCCAAATAAAAAGTTAACGTAGTATGTAATTTAACTTCTGATTTTTCCCAAATATCGTCAGTAATCATACTGCATTTCATTTCCAAGGAACACACAGTAGGCCAAATGCACAATGAGACATTCTCAGTTCTCGCTGGGACGTTAAAACAATGGTACAGAGAGGATATATCTTTACTCACATCCTTTATATCCCTCGAGTTTCATAAAAAAAGTAATCACACAGCGATGTGATTTTCACATTAATATGAAACCATCGAAAAATGTATTCTTTGTAAATATTTAAAGTTATATTTATATAATATTTAATGTATTGTATGCTCATCAGGAAAAGGCATTGTCACAACCAGTAGCATACGTCATTGGAAACTATTTCCCTCTTTGAAAAAAAAAAATTCTGAACTCGTCTGATCGTGCGAATTGTGAAGGAAGCCAATTATAACATATTTTAGTGGTTGGGATCGTTTTACAAATCTTAATTGTCTTGTGAACCCTTCTTCTATATCATCTGAGCTTGGGTCTTAAAAATTTTGCAGGTAGAAATTGTTACAGTATTTCCATATGTCTATATGCGCTTGTTTTATGTTCAAAAAACACTATTTATCTGTTAATAAGTACCTTGTCAGTTATTACCTGTTTCCGGTACCTTAAGTAAGCTGTCGATTTTGGCCTGTTTCGGTTACCTTGTGTAATGAAATATATGTAGATAGCGAACAGTATTCAAGCTCCATTAAACATTACAAAATAGGAGCAGAGCAAACACGGACCTCCAAAACATCAGAGGTGGGATCAGGTGCCATGGAGGAGTGAGCATAAATCATAAGATTTTACCCTCTTTCAGTTATCTACATGTAGTTTGAGCTGTCAGTTCTTACCAGTTTCACGAATGTTGTTTAAATGTTAAGTTCTTAACTGTGACAGGTGCCTATTACAAGCAATTAGTTCTTACTTGTTTCAGGTACCCATTGTAAGCTGTCATTTCTTAGCTGTGAAAGGTGGCCATTGTAAGCTGTCAGTTCTTGCCTGTTTCAGGTATTCATTGTAAGCTGTCAGTTCTTGCCTGTTTCAGGTATTCATTGTAAGCTGTCAGTTCTTACCTGTTTCAGGTACCCTTGTAAGCTGTCAGTTCTTACCTGTTTCAGGTACCCATTGTAAGCCGTCAGTTCTTACCTGTTTCAGGTATTCATTGTAAGCTGTCAGTTCTTACCTATTTCAGGTACCCATTGTAAGCTGTCAGTTCTTAGCTGTGAAAAGTGGCCATTGTTATCTGTCAGTTCTTACCTGTTTCAGGTACCCATTGTAACCTGTCAGTTCTTACCTATTTCAGGTACCCATTGTGAGCTGTCAGTTCTTAGCTGTGAAAAGTAGCCATTGTAAGCTGTCAGTTCTTACCTGTTTCAGGTACCCATTGTAATCTGTCAGTTCTCACCTGTTTAAGGTAACCATTGTAAGCTATCAGTTCCTATTACCTGTTTCAGGTACCCTTGTTAAGCTATCAGTTTCAACCTGTTTCAGCTGTAATGATTATCTATAGATGTATTAAAGTTCATTTTCACATACAGTGATTATCCATTGTAGAATTGTGTTTTTTGCTTATTTAACTCACACGTGTGTTGGATAGTGGATACTACCTATTACATAAACCTATTTTTCACCCACGGGTATTATACGTGAAAAGAAGAAAAGACTTGCTGTGGCCTTCAACTCGACATTTAGACGACATATTGTCAATTACATGTAACAATCATATGGTTATTTCCATTCTTATGTCGATACGATATATCTTAATGAGCTTGAAATAAAAGATACTACAGAGTCTGACACATCTGTTGGATATTTTACTAGAAAAAAGCGTTAATCGTAATCTAACAACCAAGCTCTATGATAAACGTGATGACTTTAACTTTACAATCATCAGCTTCCCTTACTTATGCAGCAATATACCTTCATCACCTGCATACGAGGTTTATTTCTCTCAGTTGATTCGATACGTAAAAGCATGCTCGACGTTCGTGGATTTTTTTAGATCGATCACTGTTCGTTATCTTACCTTTTACATTTAAAGTGCATTGATTTTGTCCCAAATTGAACGCACTTTGAAAAAAAAATTCAAAGTGTGTAATTTTTAGAGTGCGTTGCCATAATGCTCATTGTAAGAATGCAAAATAAAACAACAACAACAACAAAATATCTCAATAGTTTGAGATTTAAATATATTACATATATTGTGTAAATATTTAAATTTATATAGATTTTTATTTCCTCTAGAGTACATATAAACGAAAACTAGATATAACTGAGATGAGCTTGAAATAAAAGCTCATCCACAGATTCTGACACATCTGTTTCATATTTGGATATTTTACTAGAAAAAGACGTTAATGGTAATCTAACAACCAAGCTTTATGATAAACGTGATGATTTTAACTTTTCAATCGTCAACTTCCCTTACTTATGCAGCAATATACCTTCATCATCTGCATACCGGGTTTATGTCTCTCAGTTGAGAGCATGCTCTACGTATGAACAATTTCTTAAACTAGGTAAGTTATTGACAAACAAGTTGATGAAACAAGACTATCAGCAGTCTCCTGTCTAATGGACTTTTGAGTTTGAATACTGTTCGTTATCTCCATATATTTCACCTATAAGTCCCACTATCGCACATCACACAAAATCATGATAATTGATATGTATAGGATTCATGATTCATAGGTCCATATTCTTGAAGTATTCAACTTCCTGTCAAAATTTTCTATGAAATAAATCTCCAAAAGATTGTTACATATGTCAAAAACACGCAATAGACCATAAAAATCCAGTTTTCATATTTTATGTCAACGAAAACCCTTTTTTCGGCATGTCAACGTCAACAGAATGACATCATCAATTTAGGTGTCATCGATTTGAGGAGAGCTTAATCAATATATATATATATATATATATTTTACTTTACTTTTCTTTACTTTTCAAGTAAGTTCAAATCATCAAATTAAAGCTGTTTGTAAAATATATCTAAATTAAAAAAAATTAAAAAAATAAAGAAAAAGGCGATGTAAGTGTGTCCATGTTCTCTTCGATATTTAAGAAAAGTTGAATATCTGTGGTATGTTATTAAAAGATATGAAAACTATAATCAAGAAATATAAGGAAGGAATACCGACACAATAATGTTGTTATGTTCAGTGATTTTTTAGTGCAGTTCTAGTAATCGAACACTCTTGGTAAAACGTAGACATAAATGATAACATTTTACACAGGTGTTTGGATATGGGGGATATCGTTGTGATAAAATATTAACTTCCATGTAAGTTCAAACCATTAAACTGGAGGTAATCTTTTAAAATAGAGAAAATCAAAATAGTAAACAAAACAGCAATACTGTGAAACTTCAACACAATGACGCACTCAATCTTAAGGTCATCCCTTATCATATCCTTGTCTACTTGATAAAATGGCATTTTAATTGATGTAAAGTTCTGATTTTTCATAAATAAGAAAAAATTCAACAGAACAAAGAGATACAAGTTCAGAGAAATAATTTATTATAAACACTTATTTTTATTTAAATAACAACAAAGACAAAAAAAAAAACTTTAAAAAGCTTATATTTACATTTCTGTAGTGGCGGAGACATAACTTGCTTGTCGCCAAACACGTGATGTGTTAGAGGTCAGGGTCGGTTGTCGCCTCGGTTTGACCTGGTGGTGATTATTCTGACAACATCTACAGATTATGAATTTAAAACATTGCCTAAAATTTTGACTAAAAATAGAATAAAGAACCGGGTTAGCAGCTGAGTTGACGTTAGCGATTATCATAACGAAGACCTGATATGCGAAGTTATGATGAAAAGTCTGTGGTGAGATAGTGTTGGAGATGAGGAGGACTTGGTGAGGGAGATAACTCAGAAAATATACAACAACACTTGATATCAACATTTTCACCACACCCCTTCTCGCCTGTAGAGCTTCTGAAAATCGCTCAAGCGAAGAACCATTCACCAGACGTATCGTCACGCGTCGATGAAGTCTTTCCGAACCAACAAACAAGTGTTTCGTCACAAAGATGTACAACGTCACTTGGATTACTAGTGGCAAGAAGTAAAATAACACTGATTCTATATATTTAAATAACACAAAATAGAACATGTGATCGTCCGGAAAGATTATCATGCAGTATACAATAGGTATCCTAGGGTCGCCCTGGACGACTTCATTAAATATAAGAGTGGGTAAACCAGCCAGACAGGCACACGGCCAAATACAACCCAATACAAACACGATTCTTCTTTTGTTACACACGATGTGCGCCTTGATAGGGTGAATGATTGCCACGTATCTGAAAGCAAAAAATGAATAAATAAATAAATTCAGAACAGGCATGAGCAATCACATATACGATAGGAAGATGATGTATATGGCATCGAGACTTCTGAAATTTCCTTTCATTAATTTACGGGATTTTTTTCTTATTTATTAAATTTAATACCTTAGTTACAATTCTTAAAGTAGTGTAAAAACTAGTATATTGAAATAATTGTATTTCTATACAGTTACTATTTGTTGAAAAATTCCGATATATATGAGTTGCGAAATGACTATAAGATGGTTATATACTTAGAGGTACTGTTAGTACTGAGCTCACAAAATGATACCCCCGCTCGCATTTAAGTATAATGGCAAAGTGTATTTCTTGACAGAAAATAAATCAGATTTTATGAAAGTTTGATTTTTCAGTAAGGGGTTTAGGAGGAATTGTAATAAGAAAACCAGTACCCTTTTATCGAGTATAATAGCAGTGTTCATTCTTTGCTATGGGAAACCCCAAATATCTGTCCGATCAAAACGTAACATAGGAGGGGCACGATGGCACTATGTAATAAAAATTATTTGAAAGCCTCATTAAATTGCATTCAGTTGTATAGCAGGGGTTGCGGATAAGAGATGGGTAGTCCAATTTGGCCCAGATATCATAGAAAGAATGTCAGTGTCCATGTTTTATTAGGGGAAACACCATATATATGTCAGACTGAAACTTATGAGAATTATAATGCCACTATGCAATAAAAGTTTCGTGAAAGTTTCACAAAAGTGCATTCAGTGGTGGAAGAGGAGTTGCGGGGTGGCTACCCCCAGTATAACGGACGGACACCCCTATCACTATAAACCCTTCTCTTCAAGCGGGGGATACAATCATAACCATGCTGTTACAAGCCTAGTTTTGCATATATATTTTTTAAAGTAATGGTTGAGATTTCTCACTTGCTATGTTACATGTACAGGGTGTAAGAACATTTTAAAGAAAATTCTGTTTGATATTCATTGTTATAATAAACACGTTTTTCTTTTACTGTAATTATGGACATTTACATACCTAAAGTCGTTTGACTTTCGCGAATTAATTGCATAGACTCTCATGTTGAAGGTAATTTCTGCTATACCGTCTTTTAAATCCCTATACTTCCTTACATTTTATGCTGTTAAGTAGTCAGTTACCCATGTGAGGAACAATTCCCTCATTGCAGATGGCAAATGATTTGTTGTTATTTATTATCATTATTTATATGTAACTGAAATTGCTCGTATAATAATCAATCAAAGTATGGTACTTTGCATCATTGCTTAGTAATTGCTTATGGAACTTGTTCCAAAGATTTATCAGATGTTTTTGTGAATGTACTAGGGTAAATTTGTCTTTTTTTTCAGAGCAATAGTTATATTTTACTTCAGTTTTTATGACAATCATGCAGGTTTAGATGAGTTATTGAGTACACTGAACTGTTTTCACGAGCAATTTTATCTAACAGTGCATTCTAAGAACATTCATGTCAAACCCCGAGGACTGCAGTCTGGAATTGACAATTGTTAATTGCAAAACTGATGATTAAATTAAGAATCTTAGAAAACAGGCGTCTGTAGATCTCTCCAGCAGAAAGACTATATCTTGTGAGAGGCAGCATGACCTTTTTAAATGGCAGTTAAACAATCTTGGCAAGGATATTTCAGAGAATATCAAAAATGCGTTTCCTTCATTATTGTTAAATAAAAAAAATATTTTCTACCATTAATGTGAATGTCAGATAAAACTTAAATGCTTAAAATGGTATGCAAAAAAAAAAAAAAACAAAAAAAAACAAAAAAAACAAAAACAAAAACATTTTCCTTTTTAGCAGAAGAAATATTTCATGGTATATTTACGAATTCTAATTATCTGTAATTTTCTTTTAATTAGTATGTTTCCAGTAATGTTGTTTTTCAAAGATAAAACGTTCCTTCTGCTTTGACAATGTTAAATTTTTAATTCAAAAGAAGATTGGATGCAAAAGCTAGGTGCATGGAGTTGTGTGTTTTTTACTGATTTCCATGCAATACAATGTTTCTTTTAAATTTGAATCTGTAATTCACACTATTCAAAACAAATGTATGGTTTAAACTACAATTGAAGAAAAATACCCAATTATCAATCGACTTTCTTATGATATCATAAACATTAATTGATCTGAGGTATGTATATTTTTCTAAATTGTAAGATAATTGATCAATCTTTTTAAGACTAAAAGGGGCTTATTTGATGCCTACAAAGTTACACAGTGCGAAGGGTGAAGTCATAGAGATAATCAGGAACTTAGGTTACTCAATGATTCTAACTGAGACTCTCTGCCTCTCTGACGTAAGCCACACACATTGTAGTATATAGGTTATGACATTTACAATTTAAAGTATCAACAATATACTCGATCACTCATTTATTTTTAAATATTTTACTACTTCAAAGAGTTATGCAAAATTAAACACACACACACACACCCTCACACAAACACACACACACACACACACACACATGTTCTTTATAAATAAGTTGTATATCCACATCTCGTTTACAATTTTAAATTTTATAGCACAGAAAAATAAGATGCAAGCTATGTCAGCATAGCATGAAAGTCCACAGGTGAGTTATTAAATTAAAAGGTCTCTGCTGAAGGTAAGTCATAAAGAACCAACCAAAATCAAAATCTGAAACAAACATCAACTATTTACACCCCAGATATCGGATCAATAGTTTGGCCTTTGTAGCAAAATTACAGTTTTCATTTTTAAAATTCAAATTCAAGGACACGACACATTGCAATACAATGGGTCAAAGGAAGTTGAAAATATATAAAAGACGAAGTTCTATCTGCAGACATAGCAAGAATAAGGCTGGTAGCTAGATCTGTTGTATATTCATGAATATTAGATCATAAAACTATTTGCACTGACTGATTTAGTGCACTAGTGCTTAATTTTTTTTTAAATTTCAATTTTCTCTCCGACAGATTTTGTCTTGCGAATAACAAATCTTTCAATTATTCATATTAAAACATTTATTCGTCAAAAAACTCTGTCTGAAACATTACAAATTGAATGTAGCTAAACCACTCAACAATGTTACAATGATACAAACGAATCACCACGACCATTACTCTACAGGACCAAAAGTTTGTTTGTTTGTTTGTTTCTTGTTTAACGTCCCACTCGAGAATTTTTCACTCATATGGAGACGCCACCACTTGCCGGTGGAGAGCTGCAAATTTTGTCCTATACTCGGCACTTACGGCCATTGAGCAGTGAAGGATCTTTTTCGTGCCAGCACCTAATGCGACACGGGACCTCGGTTTATACGGTCTCATCCGAAGGACCGGTCTCCACGTCCCACAGTGGGATTCGAACCCCCGATGTAAGGATCAACTCCTTACTCCGCGACTCTAGAGCAGACGCTTTAACCACTGCGCCACGCGGGCGACCAGGACCAAAAGTAGAGAATAGGTTTCTTAAAGGGGAAAACATTTTAAGTGTTATGTGAATATTTTCAAAAAGTGTGTGTAATGTAGTCAACAATAGTAACGTCAACTATGAAACATGTACATTACATGCCACATCTAAAACAAGACTGGATGCACGTACGTTAATATGGAACATAATTTTGAAATCTGATCTCTTTTTGGATTGTGGTTACTTAGGAATGAAACTCTTCTCAGATATTTTACAGTGGCCATTGTACTGAGGAAAATATGTCACATGACGCATCCGAGGCTTTATTACTGATATGCATCTCCAGGTGCATGCATGCAATATATGTGCCAGCTTGGTCAGTGTACGATATATAGCTAAAGCTTCAGAGCTAAAACGTTCAAGTTAATGCTGCATTCGAAGAAAAGATCTACCCTTAGTCGTGAAATGTGAAGCAGAAAAGAATTCATGCTCAAAAGTCTAATTAAACAAAACAAAATGTGAGCAGGGGAAAAACGAACCTATAAAAGTATCAGAGGTGGAATTAAGTAGTATGGAGGAGTAAGCATCCCTTATTGACCGGTTACACTCGCCGTGAGCCCCTTATCATGATCGGGTAAACGGAGGAATCAGTAGGCAATCCAGTATCAAAACAAGAAGTACTGTGAGCACCGAGCTCACAAAATGATACCCCCACTCCCGAAAGAATGTAATGGCAAAGTCCGTTCAGAACATAATAAATAGGAACATAAAAAATTATAATACATAAAACAGGATCGTAAAAAATAACATGAAAAAAAAAAGAAATTTGTAAAAGTATCATTAAATTTTATTTTGTGGTAGGAGGAGTTGCGGAAAAGAGATGGGTGCCCCCAATATTATACAAAAAATGGCACTTTTTAGTTTTTCTATGAGAAACCCCAAATATCTATCTGATTGAAACAAAAAACAGTGACACTATGTTATAAAGATTCTTTGAAAGTTTCATTAAATTTCATTCCGTAGTATATATAGTGCTGGGGATAAGAGATCGCCCCCCCCCCCAAATGTTATAGAAACAGAGGCCCATGGGTCACATCGCTCACCTGAGTTACTATGGCCCTGCTGTTCTCCATCAATCAATTTTCCCCTATATATTCCTATTAAAAATTTGATAAGATATTTGCTCCCTACCTTCCAGGGGTCATGAATTGAACAATGAACAATTGAAGGATGCTTCGATATAAATATGATTAATCATGACTTACATTGTAGGTGTTCTTGAGTATGAGATTTTACCAAAAAATCCTATTTTATTCCTTTAAAAATCTTTGATCGTCCATTGTGGCCCTACCCTACACCAGGGCGTCATGGTTTTAATGAACTTGAATCTACACTACCTGAGGATGATTCCTTATAAATATGACTTATCATGGCTTTCTGTTCTTAAGGGTAAGATTTTAAAGATTCTTCCTAGATATTACTTTTCAAAACTTTGATGGCCCATTGTGGCCCCACTCTACCCCCTGTTACCATATGATTTGAACGAATTTGAATCTATAATACCTGCGGATACTGCCAAATAAATGAGACTTATCATGGTTTGACTGTTCTTGAGAAGATTTTTAAAGATTTTTTCCTATTTATTCCTATGTAAAACTTTGACTGTCTAATGTGGCTCCATCCTAATCCCAGGGTCATGATTTGAACAAACGTAAAACTACACCAGTTACGGATGCTGCCAGATAAATTAGACTAATCATGGCTTTACTGTTTTTTCTTCAGAAGTTTCTTTTAAAAAAAGTCCAATGTAATCCTAATTAAAACGTTAATTTCCTATTGTGGCCCCGACCTTGCCCTGATGGTCATGATTTGAACAAACTTGAGTCTACATTATGTAATGAAGCTTTCACATGAGTTTCAACTTTTCTGGCTCGATCATTGGTTATTGACAAGAAGATTTATAAAAGATTCTATTAATTTTTTTTCTAATTTTTAATTATCTCCCCTTGAAAGAGGGCGTTGCCTTTCATTTGAATAAATTTATACCCCTTCACCCAAAGATGTTTTGTGGCAAGTTTAGTTGAAATGGCCCAGTGTTTCTTGAGAAGAAGTTGAAAATGTGAAAAGTTTACAGACAACGGACGACAGACACCCTTCGATAAGGAAAACTCACTTGAGTCTTGAGTCAACGACACTATGTAATGATAAGATTCTATGAAAGTTTCATTAAATTTTATTCAGTGGTAAAGGAGGAGTTATGGATAGGAGATGGTTACCCCCTCCCTATGTTATGAAAAGAATGGTAGTGTCCATATTTTGCTATGGTTAACCCTATATATCTGCCCGACCAAAATAAAATAGAAGATGCACAATAAAACTATGTAGTTAAGATTCTGTGAAAGCCTCATTAAATTTTATTCATTGGTATAGGTGGAGTTGCTGTTCTCAGATCCCCCCCCCCCCCAAGTGTGACAGACGTAGGGAAGGACATACAGATGGTCGTACAGAAGAAGGGACATCTCACCACTACATACCCCATCCCCCTCTCCATCACCACCACTTTTCAAGCGGGGATATAACAATACCTTAACAATTTGTATTTACAAAAAATTACGACAGACTGTATTTGCAGTTGTATTGTATTTGAGTTTACAATAACATTTCACCTGCATATAGAGTTTATGTCTCCCATTTGATTTGATACGCACGAGCATGTTCTACGTAAGAACAATTTATAAAACGATGAAAACTATTCACAAATAGGTTGATGATTCAAGGATATCAACAGCCTCGTTAAAAGTCAACATTTCACAAATTTTATGGTCGATATAACGATCTGTTAGCAAATACAACATATCGTTAAGTCGAATGGTGAGTGGCTGTTTTATACAAATTGTTAGGACATTATTTTCGCGCTGAATTGTTTACGATTTTTTTTTCGTTTGAGCGATCATGACAAGGAGCAAACGGCGGGTATGACCGGTGGACAGGAGATGCTTACTCCTCCATAGCACCAGAAACCACCTCTGAAATTTTTAGGGGTCTGTATTTGTTCTGCTCCCAATTTGCATTGTTTGAATGGACTGTTGAGTTTGATTAATGATCGTTATCATCATATTTCATATTATCAGAAGAGAGTAAATTAATAACTATTTGTAGTCGCCCGCGTTGCGCAGTAGTTAGAACGTTTGCTTTAGAGTCGAGGAGTTAGGAGTTGATCCTTATGTCGCGGGTTCGAATTCCGCTTTGGGACGGTGAGACCGGTCCTTCGGATGAGACCGTATCAACCGAGGTCCCGTGTCGCAGACTATAATACTGCCATCTTGAGTGGCAAGACAATTCGGTCCAACGTGCTTCTGACTTGCACATAGTTTTCTTGTGGAAGTAGTAAAAGAATATGTAAGGAACACACGGTTAGTGATATTTTTATATACATGTATATACTAAGAAATAAATCGAGAAACAGTGCTCTTTTTGTATGCAATAAATACATTTTTTTGCAAAGGGTGGCACTGTAGGTCTCTGGTCGTCCATCCCAAATTTTTTCAGATCGAGCTACAGATCTGCAGCTACCAAATATATCGTCTCTGACTTCTTTTTTCAAAAGTTTTGAGGGGGTTTAAAGTTTATGACAGAAATATAGAATGACAGAACGACAGAAAGAAAGTCTTAATTATCTAGACGCTTCCACTATCTCGAAATACTGTGAAAACAAGCGTATGGATGATGGACGCTAAATGACAGTACAAAAACAATACGTCCCCATTCTTCACTCCGGGGCATAAAAATAATGATTTCTTTTACAAAAACAAGCTTTCGTTTTGATGTATTTTACTGACGTTTTATACCAATTATTAGGCCATTGATTAATTCTTATTTTACCACAAATTTCTCCAGTTGCCTGATCAATAAAGGGCACACGGCGGGTGTGACAGGTCAACAAGGGATTTTTACTCTTGCTAGGCACCTGATCCTACCTCTCGTGTGTACATGGGTTGTTTTCTTGTCCTGTTCAAAATTTGTATTGTTAAAAGGATTTTAAAGATCGATCACTTTTCGCTATCCTTACCTTTTTCATTTCTATCAGAAGCCACAGGAAAGAATTATAGGCGATATTTCTGATATTGTTAAATGTTTTGTAGCAAACAAATTCAGAGAATCGAATCAATGAAAACACTTTTTTCTACAGCTAAAACACATTCTTTTCTCATTGTTATATTGTAGCTACTAAAGTTCTTATCCACCGGAATTTCAATGATTTATATACTTATATAATATTGTTATTATTAGGATGTGCTATGTCGATTTATGTCAGGGTTTGACACATGGTGCACGAGCCGGAGGCGAGTTTGTATACGACAATTTAATCAAATTTGTTTGCAGACGTTAAATCTAAATGAAAATTTTCTTGAACTTCTTTAATCAAGCGTCATATCATTAAGCGATTTAATGACTCCGAAGTAACAATTCATATTACTTTTCAATTTAGGATATTGTTTAATTCGATTATTTGTTAGAGAATTTTTCTTCAAACCCCTTGTCAATGTTATCAGTCTTTTGGAAATGATATTCATTTATTTTTCGTTTTGTGTCAAATGTATGAAAACTACGTTTTTATACTTGAAAATACACTTCGTAACGTATCGGTAGAGGGTAGCGCGTTGGACTGACGTTTGCAGGATCATGAGTTCTATACCCAGCATGGGTGCTTACACATTTTTTTCTGTAGAAAAAAACTTAGTCGCGCACTATTTCGGCATAATGTGCTTACACTATATAGTTGGGCATTGATTATAGAGACAAACTGACAAGCATTATAATGATTTTTAGTGAAAAATATGTTCATTGGGAGGTGTATCTGTGTTATATTTCCTAAGGTTATAAGTTTCAAATAAGTAAAACTATCGAAACGAGAATCATAAATGCCCCCCCCCCCAAAAAAAAAAAAACAAACAAACAAACAAAAACATTAAAACAACTCAAGCTCTCTTTGTCAATGATTATGATATGATATTTCTTATACTCTTTCGACTCTCACCTTTCAACGCATAAAGCTATGAGAGTGAGTACAGATCCATACAATGACGTCACCATGATGTAACGGTTCACTTTACAAGCTGTGCGGTTAAATAACCAACCCTGTTCTAACATAAAAAGAATTGTCTCCGGAATTCCAAAAACCATGATTAGAAGGTCGGCAAATGCCAGATTGGTAATAAGTAAATTTGTCATGGAAGTTCTCATCTTTTTATTGCATACTACCGCACAAACCACGAATGAATTTCCACAGATTCCCACCACACTTATCACAAAAAACAACAGGGAGAGTCCAACAATTGTTTCCGGGGATATTGAATCACTTCCGAGATTTTCTGAGTGAGATTCGTTTCCGGTAAATTTCAAAGCTATGCCGTGCGACACATACCCCGCAGAGTAAGAATAATTTGAAATCTTCCTCGAGATTATAATTTCCGAGGACACACTTTCTGGATAGATATTTTCTAATGTTGTCAGATTGCCGCTGTCACCCATTCTTCCGGGAGATTTATTTTCTTCTGTTATATCATCTAAAATGACTGTTACGAAGTCATTGACAAAGAAATTCCGGCAGGAACTCCTTCTTCACTCATTCTAAAAAAAAACAAAATGTGATATTGATTAGCTCAAACAAGTATCCCAGTTCCTCTCTCTACGGGTGTGATGTATGCCTCGGGAAGCTACTGTAGACACAAAAGAGCATTCCTATTACTGCATATCAATCAAGGAAGAGATGGTTTAATTTAATTACAATTCCTCAAAATAATTTAATGCAAAAAACCAATTTAACGTATTACATTTTTTTCTGTCGAATTCATTAACCGATATTCTTGTTTTTTTTTTTAGTATAAATAATTGTTTTCTTGAATTTGTGTTTCTATGACAATAAAGTTAATTTTTCACTTTCCTATATGTATATCGTATATGAACATTTTTTTTCTGGTTGAAATATTGTTTAATTAGACAGTTAGTATGGTATAGTAGAACTTTAGATATAAACACGTAACTTGATTTCCTGACATTTTCAGCTGCACCTTCTCTGTTAACGTTTTGTTCGATTTCTCGCCTAACAGCAATGATTGAAAATCTTCGCTCTAAACAATACACATTGGATAGGTAGAACAAGTTTCATATTTAGATACCGAATGCACTGACATGGTCATTTGCCTATAGTTATCCAAAACATTACTAAAACTTGATGAAATTACAATCATTTTATAGGCACTTTAGAGAAAATACGATTGAAAGTAATATTGCTTAGCTTGTGTGATCTGGACTGTATTTACAGAAATTAGTATGTCTGTAATGGTAACGGGTAGTTCCAACAATATCTATTTTACTACAATCTCTTTGATAAGAACTAATATTGCTCATCTTCCTTTCAACAGAAACTGTACAAATTCTTTGTCAGATTATTGCATTTTCTCACAATGATTGTTTTTTGTGGAATTTTCTGCGTATCCTTTGATACTCAAACCTAGCTTAACTTAGTTAAGATCGTGCATAAAATCAAAGATAAACCTCTACTTGAGAATAGAAATAAAGCTTTTACTGCTATGTAGCGAGTGAAATAAGTTGCTTTTTAAATATGAGGAAATACATTTCTCGAAATAACAGAAACAACTAAATTGTTACAAGTATTGCAAACCGCATATGATAATTGATCATTGTTAAATGTATAGGAACAGAATATCGTTGTTTTTGGACGATTGTAGCATGTCACAAACAGGATTACTTTTTATTATTATTATTCCATTATTATTATATGTGAACATTAACGCGTACGAATTTTCTAATTATTTTGCTTTCTAATTATTTTGTTTATCATGTACGTTTTTTTTCACAGATCATTAAGGTATAACCGCCAGTCTAAAAAACAGGAAGCATGTCACGTCAGCTCCGTGATTGATGGTGCATGTGGTATGTTACCTAGAGCACCGTTACTTCTACAAGGTCATATTGTCTTGCAATGGAACATTGAAAGACAGATTATATATCTGACATGAAAATTTTATGATTAGCATATTGTAAGACATTTAGTAGACGAAGTGTTTTTCGCAATGTAACATATGGATCTTTATTTTTCGAGATAAAATTTCTAAATTCCAGGTCTTATTGTTCCTGTCCGCTTGTTATTTGCACTGAGTTTATAACAAGCGCCATATATTTAGTTTTATGTATCGTCAGAATAATATTTAATTCACCTTCATTATTCACATTTTTTTTAACGATTAAACTTTTCAACCTTGACTAATCTATATCTGCATCATTTAGAGATGAAATATGATTACGCATGTACTAGTGTTTAGTTAAATTCATCTCGGCATAACGATGTATAAACCGTAAATCTGTAGTTAACAGTTATATAGGACTCTTCCCTGATACAGGTGCCCATTTATAAAACAAACAAGAAAAGGATTGCGAAAGCTTCGGAGGCTTGCTGTTAGAGCTATGTTTTATAATGCCTGAAAAATGATATCACAGACGATGCAGTTTTATATATTACTTCATGTTTTAACACGAAGAGGTACATTTTTATTTGCTTTGCTCACGTATTGTTTATTGGTATGTATGATTGTAATTGCGGGTCTTAATATGGGTATATATATTACAGATTTTTTAAACAGGCAAAGAATATGAAAGCTGGTTAAATTTGCTTTACGGCAGAGCTGGAAAAAATTTTATGAAAATCTAGTAAACTAAATCACCCCTCTCCTGTAGCTTTAGAGAGTATCATAAGAAAAAAGATCTTGTAAATGTGATTCAAAGAAATTTCAAACTAGTGCTCACTCACTTGCTAGGATGAATATCTATTGAAGAATTCATACCACTAGCACAAAAATTTCAAGAAAGAACTTGCACATACATGTAAGCTGAAATATTCCATATTTAACACTTATTTCTGAATATGTGAAAAGAAAACATAAGTTTTTAAACGTGTGTGGAATGAACATTATGTATCTTGCTATTATTTTATAGTACACATTGAGCACTTGTTAATCAAATATTGAAATTTTAACTTTGTACAGCTAACAGCTTCGTAATATCCTTGCTTATTTCATATTCAGGGGTCGAATTACACCCCTACATATACATCACAAAGGTCACAATTCATAGTGGGTATTCATTCACAGACCAAAAGCATCATTTGATAACATAGTGTGAAAAAAAATTGTACAAATGCTTTATGTCGAAAACAATATGACAGACAAAAATACCAGTATATGTAAAATTATACTTATCAATTTGAGGTCGAGACATAGAAAAAACTAATTCACTTCAACTGTAAAGTATCAGACTATTTTAATTCGGTATACTTCAATAAATAAACATTCATAAAAACTAAGTCATTCAGAAATTTATCTTTCCAACAACGATAATTCCAATGAAAAAGCCATAAGAACTCTCACAATTCTTAATGAAAAAAGATAGCAATGTATTTTATCACTTGAGAGGTGTATGTGCAGTGGGAAATATTAGTGGGATAGGTACCAAGACAACATTTGAAATACGTTGCCAAAAAAAAAAAAGAGTTATCGATGTGAACAAACGTCTACCTTTGCTTAATTTTTAATCATGTTAATAGATAAAGAGCAGGTGCCCTTGATCTTCAGTTAGAATTAAAAAGGTGAGTCCCATTAATTAAAAAATGTTCGATTATACATTTTTTAAGCTAGGCTGCTATAAGGGTCTTTGAACTTTGGTGTGGCTTTGTAAGTGTTTAGTATTAGATCTGACTAGGTTACTTGAAATATAACATCCAATTCATGGTTAATCTGTTGCCCTCTCAGATAAAGAGTTTCACGAAAGGTGCTGTGGAGAGTCCTTTTAATGTGTTTAGATCCAAACACATTTAATTTAATTTAACAAAAATATTTTACTCATAGAGATGCATTATGGATGATAATTTGAAAAGTAATTTGAATTATTGAAAAAGCAAGTTCGGAAATGAAGCCATTAATTAAAGCATTGTGTGCGGATGTTTTGTCCTCATGATTGTTTTCAGACATGAATCAGAGATAAAATTACGTTATTTTCATGGGTATTGTCAAACGACCTACTGAGAGTGTATTTCGGTAACAAGACATGAATTACGAAACTATGAATTGAAAAGAGAGAGAAAGAAAGAAATGAAAAGAAGAAGAATTTCCGTTACTTCAATTCAATTATGCAATGGATAACAATGTTGACGTTCATATTCAAACTTTGAAAATAATTACAACTATACTTAATATATACAAATACAAACTTAAGTAGAGAAACTTATCTTGAGAAGATATTTGATGTTTTGAACAATTTTATTGCAATTATATTGTTAAGAGCTAACAATCAGGATATTATAATTTGACAATCATGTTTGATGGTCTAATGAGGGGTGAAACCAGTAACTGAATGTGTGGAGTGCCGAATTCCGTTCATTAACGAAATTGCTTTGAACTGATTCTGAATGTACTCTACCTGATGCCTGACAGGGTGACAATCGTATTGAGAAAAGCATGCCCAAGGTAATCATGGTTTTCAAAAGTTCCAGGACATTGAACGTCCTTTAAAACATTTAAAAGTAAATTGTGGAATATAAGATTTACAAGAAGATAATTAATGAAATATGAAGATAACGAACAGTATTCAATCTCGAAAGTCCAATTAATCGACACAAATTTGGAGCAGAGCAAACACGGACCTCAAAATTTAGAGATGGGTTCAGGTGCCATGGAGGAATCGAAATCTATTTGCAGAAATGATCGGTGTATCAATTGTTGTTTTGCTGCACTAATATCGTCCACACTAACTGTGGTTTGCAGTGCAATCTTTACATGAAGGGCTGCCGTGTAACTATCAAAATGAATACAATTTTAATAGATAATCATGCAAACTGCAAATTAATTTACTCTTTCGTTGTGCGTTGAGTTTTAATGACATGTTAGGTGTAATAGAGGAGCAAAAAAGACGGAAAACAACTATTGAAATGCAGAATTTAATGTAAAGTTGCACATATAAATTAAAGAAATAGTGTTCCGAAAAGTTATTGAGAATTATTTGTAATAAATTTATCTAAAATATTGGAATAATAATATATATGATATAATTTTTTATCGTATGACAATACCCCCTACTTTCTTATGAAACATGCAGTTTTCACGGATAACCTCCCATCTGTTGAATTTACTTCCTGTTCTCTGCTTTTGTTAAAAATTAATGGTTTTGAAAAAAGAAAGCCATATAAGATATATATTAGCAAGGGATTGTAAATTCTGGTAATATTTCTGAAACACTTGAGTACTTCACTATATGCTTTGTCTATATAAAGTATGGTACAAAATATTTTGAAAATAAGAGGAATTCAGTGAAGGAAAAAGAGTCGGAAGGCGTAGTTAGCTAACATTTCTTCTCAGTAAGTAAACTTTAAGAAAAACGGGGTTTCTTTTCTAACCCTTCCAACTCTTTTCCTCTGCTGAATTCCTTCCCTTTTTCAATATTTGAAAACAGAGGAATACTCGGTGCTTCAGAAGTATCACTACTTTTGCAGACCTTTGATAATGCACATCTACAATAACCTTTCTATTTTCAAAAGCACTTATTTGGAACATTTATTTAACAATCGACAGGAAGTACAGGTATATAAAGTTAACGGTATGTTATTCATAAAAACTGCACAAAACATGAGAAAGTAGGAATTGAATTGATGTATTTTCCTTTGATAAAAATATTAATATTAAACTATAGATATTTTTTTTTACAAATTTTTTGAAAATCATATCACCAAATAATTCTTAAGTCTATCTGGGAACACAATAAATTTAATTTCCAATGCAGATCGTTTACTGAAAAGCTTATTGGGGGGGGGGGGTATGAACCGAGAATTATAACAAACCCATACCTCTAACAAAATTCGTGTAATCATTGTTTCAAAAATACATAAATATAAATAAACTGATATCCCCCCTTCCAAAAAAAGATTAGTGAATTGAGGACACATTGATAATACATGACAATCCAATGACGCAATTAAGCAGTTGGAAGTCCATTTCTTGTTTCATTTCTCAGGAGTTATAAATTTAAAATCAAGGCAAACCTCTCTCATTCGAAAGTGGAAATGGAATTATGACGTCTTTTCTTATTGTATGAGTGCTTGAAGTTCTTGATTGAATGTTACATTGAGCACCACGATCAGTGAAGAAAATAACTACTATTGAAATTAAACATTTTTTTATAATTCTTTCTTCAACAAGAGAGAATCCAAAGTTTTGTAGATAATTTTTTTACATTACTGTATATGATTTGATTAGTTTTTTAAATCGAATCATGAAAAGTTTTCTAGCAAGTTATTCAAACCAAGAAAAGAAATGAAAAATTGTTCAGATAGATTTTTTATATTAATTTGTTTTCTTTTAAAATAAAGATAAATCTCTATATCTATAGTTATATTTAAAAGATTGATAGCCTTTGTTATAATTTTTTTTTTTTAAAAAGTGCATTGTTATTTGAAACAATGATGCTGTCATTAATTAAAGGAAGACGCCATAAAAACAAGAAATCAATCAACAAGAAGATACTTTTTACTCACTTTTAAACGATGCTTTTAAAATCACAAAATTCCATCTTTTACTAAAGAGACATTTCGTACTCACAAGTCGAAGCACAGGGCACCGCTGGTCAAATGACACGCTTATCGAGTTACACTGATCAACTCAGTGCTTGCAGTCAATACCAATTAACATCACAAGCGATATTTTATGTTATAAAATACAAACAGTCTGCAGGCTGTCACGGAATTCTAACGGATATTATTTTATCCAGTGAGTGTTTGATTAAACTCTACCTCCCAGCTGGAATGCTTTTGAATCTGCCCATTTGTGTGAGTTGAATTCTTTTATTTTCATTCCACTTGCCGCTCCTCTATTGTACTCTTCAGCGCTTACTTAAGTCAGAGGAAATAATACATAAGCCACCGATATTGTTTACAGGATACTTACAATTGATTATATGAAAATACAATGAAACATTGAACATAACTTTTCAATTGTTCATAAAAGGGGGGGGGGGGGGTGAAAAGTACTGGAATCACGACTGACATAGAAAAACCCAACATTACCACGCCAAATCCTCTATTGATATGATAATGGTTTTAAGTTTTATTTTTCTGTATTGAAATTTTCAGTGCTTTGGTGACTTCAGGTTTTTCTTTTTTCAATAGAAAACTTCCAGTATTTATGTAGTTATATTTTACTATCACCTGCATATTGAGTTATTGTATCCATTCTGATTCGGTACACAAGAGCATGTTCATAAAACTATCAATTTTAATCCAAGACAGCCTATTGAAAAATAAGTTGATGTTAAAGAGTTTTCTACATTTTCGTGTAATGTCACAATTCACAAATTATATGGTCGTTATAACGATAAATTCTGTTGTTGGGTCATATGTGGAATATGTTTGATAACTCCAGTTTACTAATGAATACAAAAGGCTCATGGCGGGTTGTATCGGTCGACAGTGGATGTTTATTCTCCCTAGAGATGATATTGATCACTGTTCATTATCTTCTCCTTTTTCAGACCTCAAAAATGTTAAAAATAAAACATTTATAAGTATTATCATAATAGTCACACACTGAAGATGTTCCTTTTGACACAGACGTCCACCATTGTCTATAAACATTTCACAAAAAGATTTTTTAAAAATCATTTCACAAACACTTTATCAAGCACTGCTAATCTAAATACTTTTGACAACCATTTTATTTTCCCTCAATAAGTGAAATGTGAAGTCATAAAGTGTAATGCCTTTTGATCCATTTCAGTTGATAATATTTCCTATAGTCTGGAAATTATCATAACGGAGTTCCCTTTTTTTAAACGTTTATGTAATTATATATGTAAAAAGAGAAGTTTTCTTAAAACCAAACAATTTTTTCCGTGAAGTTGTGTCGTGGCACGTTTATGCCAAATCCTTTGAGATTTGTTCTCCTAATATTGAAATACAGCATTGAAGATAAATAAAATCATCATAAAATGGTGCTGGAATTTCCCACAGTATTTCAGCTCAGTTTATTTTACCCACAGTTTTGATTAATGCTCTAATAATACGATTATATCAGCAACCATGGAAACGTGATTATTATAAGAATGGTGTTCTGTCCGTAAATTTTTTATCATCTAGTCACACTCTTTGTCATGAAAATAAATTTATTCATTGTATGTTTCTTTAATTGATTTTAAGTATATTTTTAGTGATTAATGTATATCCCAGATTAGAGAATAAATATCATTGGAAACTCTCTATAAATATGAACAAGCCCAATACTGCAGATGCTGACATTAAAAAATATTCTAAAACATAACTTCAATTTACCTTTTTTTTACAATGGGGATAAGTTTCAATAAATTTTTGAAGACTACTGTTTTGGATCCAATTTCATAACTGCAAGAAACTGCAATTTCTGAAAATTGTATTTATCAATTAATTCGACCGACATTTGAAGCAAAATAATTTTAACGACAGACGTAATTTAATAAGGAATTTATTCCAAGAACCTTTATATTCCACAATCGTCTCTATCTAAACTGTAGACTTGCCCGAGTTTTTCCGTCATTCGTCATTTGTATTTTGATTAATGATAATATCCAATCTATGCTGCTTATGTTTATTGGTTTATGATTTTACAAAATTCAATTTACAAAACTCCAAAAACAATTACACGTGCCCTTGAGAAATAAAAATCAAGTTATTCTTGATTGCATATAGGAAAATGTTTTCGACAGGCAGAATCTAAATCATTATAAACATCTCTCTCTCTCTCTCTCTCTCTCTCTCCATTGTGAGGTGTATAAATAGGTATAAAATACATATTCAAGATAAGGTGAAGATGAAGAACAGTGATCGATCTCAAAAATCTACAAATAATGCAAATCTATGAACAGATAATAATACACCATAGCACCTGATCCTGAGGTGGGATTAGGTGCCTAGGAGGAGTAAACACCTCCTGTTGTCCGGATAGATGATATGCAGTTATCTTGACCAATTTTCTTAATCCAAGGTCAGGGTAAAAAATGAATTTTAAAAGATTCTTGTATTAAGCATATTTTCTTTTCACTTGGCCGAATCTTTTTTAAAACTACACACACAGATTGCGTATTGGTAAAGAGGATGTGTTGTAACCTATATCCATTTCATTTAAGATCAAAAATCAAAGTTTGAAGAAAATCTATGCGTAGATCGTTGTCTTAGGCTTATTTTCTCTCACCTTTACCTAATCTGACCCGTATTTACCGATAGAATGCTCAATACTTATGCAGTCATCTTGAACACATTTAAAGACATTTTTAGAATCAACGTTATAGCACATCGCTGTTTAAAATCCTTGTGATTAGATTTTTTCTCCCTGTTGTTACATCTGGTTCATACATCATCCAAAGAGCACCAACGGGTAAAGAATAAGTCAGTCAAGAGTAAAAGTCAAGCTCCAAATACATTTCTCGACAAATCCATTTCATCATAATGATCCTTACAAAAACAAGAAACTCCATACGATAGTCACCATCTCAGTGATATCTAGTTTTCGTTTATATGTACTCTAGAGGAAATAAAAATCTCTATATATTTAAATATGTACGTAATATACGTAATATATTTAAATCTCAAACTACTGAGATATTTTTGTCGTTGTTTTATTTTGCACTTGCAATGAGCTTTATGGCAACGCAATTTGAAAAAAAATAGGCACTTTGAAAATTTTTTTCAATGTGCGTTAAAATTGGGACAAAATAAGCGCACTTTGAAAACAAAAATTTAAAGTGCAGTAAATTTGGTACAAAATCAATGCACTTTAAATGTAAAAGGTCAGATAACGAATAGTGATCGATCTCAAAATATCCACGAACAAAACAAATATGTGATGGCATAAAACACGGACCCCTGGAAATTCCAGAGGCGGGATCAGGTGCCTAGGAAGAGTAAGCATCCTTTGTTGACCGGTCACATCCGCAGTTTGCCCTTTGTATTGATCAGGTAGACGGAACTATCCGTAGTCAATTCAGTACAAAAACAAAGGCCTAACAAGTCAGCCAAAATACGACCAAATGATAGGATATATTTTAATGATTTTTTTAAACTGCGTTAAGAGTGTTCATCAACATTTTTACCATGAAGACACTTAACGCACTTTGAAAAAAATCTAAACCAAAAAAAAAAAAAAAAAAACCAAAAAAAAAAAAAAAAAAACAACAACAAAAATTCTGGGCTTAGATTAAAGTAATATACAACATTATTTTGTTATTTTCTTTCAAAAAACTGATGAATTGATCTACCCTCATAAAGAACGAGGAGAAGACAGATAGAAGGTTCCTCAGCTCAACTCTTTATCCTTCTTACCCAAATATATGTATTTACATAACTGGTTTGACATTGATATACTTTCTCTCAATAAAGAGTTAACGTAAAATAGATGAAAAAATTGAGATTAGCTTTCCTGAAAAAAAAATATAATTCACCCTATTATATTAAAGAAGAGAGGCTCAAGGGCCATAATGGTGATCTAAGCAACAATAGCTAACTGACTGTACTTTGGCTTTTCTAAAAGTAGCTTAACAAAATTAAATACAGTACAAATCAAAACAAAATAAATCTATAAAATGCATAAATAATTTTTTTCGTAACTCTAAATGTTAATCAAATAACTGTAAAGAAAAAAAAAGGGGGGGGGGCATCATATTGTGCGGGAATAAACTATTTTGTATACTTCTAGATACTTATCAAATAAATATAAAAAGACCATCATATTGTGCAGGAATATTATTTTCAATGAGCATACAAACCTGTACCCCATTTTGTCTCATTTCTCTTACCATTAAGGGTTATTTTGAAAAAAAAAATAAAAAAGATAAAATATAGGAAAATAAGTATAAGGAAGTCCTTAGTACATTTTTGTCATCAAATGTCCATCTGTCACCATATCTGATAATCTCTCTGTAACCATTTTCATGGTATGGAAAAATAATAATTGCTCCCTTTTACCTAAGACAAATGGGATGCTTCAAGTCACTTATGGACCCTTACATCTACGAACTTATTACAGACTGGATAAAATTAAAAAAGAAACGAAATTGTGCTATTAAACAATCACTTATACATGATTTCTAAAAAGCCCACTTTCCTTTTATAAGGAAAACCTTTGGGAACAAGACGACCCCTAAAAATCTTTAAAATGTCTATATCTTAGATCCTGAAGTGACGTTATCACCGAAGAATTATCCAACCAAGTTCAAATAATTTATTACCATATCTAAGATTTGAAAGAATATTCACCTAGCCGTGCACATTTTTCAAAAGTGCGTTAATATTGTCGATATTAACGCACTTTGAAAAAAAATTTTTTTTTTTCAAAGTGCGTTAGCTTGGTCAAATTTAACGCAGAATTTTGACTGTATCAATTGTTAAATTCATATTTCTATGTTCTATTTCAATTGCATGACATATTGTTATATTTAGAGAGAAACCAGTAAGTTAGAAACATTTTTTTCTAATCCTTTTGATTCATTCAATAAAATATGCTCAAAACAATGTCTTAATTATTTTTTTGTAAATATATAAAGACCTTGCTCGATAAAAAATCCCTTCATTTATCTATTAGGAATATCAATGCCATGTGTATTTTGATTCCATTAACCGGTTAATCTGTTGCGGTTACCTGACTCGCAATTCTGCAACCGATTACTATCCCTAATATATATGTCCTTAATAATAATAAAATAACGATTTGGCACACTTGATTAAAAACAATCGTCAGAAGAACATCTAAATAATTTAGTAA